GATCGCATTTTATACTAATTATAAATTACTTTTTTTGAAAAAATATCGTAAAAAACCTCTCATTTTAAAATTTTGAAATCTGAAATGTTTAAAAAGTTACTCATAAAAAATGAAATATATCAATGGCAATGGCGGATCTTGCAACTTGAAGTAGGGTGTTAAAAAATCACAGTTAAAATATTGCACAATAATATTTTTTCGATCTCACAATTGAAGAAATGTAAATTTTTCAACAAAAGGCTAGCAAAAAGGCTTAAGGGTAACAAATACTATGTATTATATAAAATGCAATATATAAATTATTATATCAATTCTATACATGTATTTTTACGTTTTGTTTTCAAAATTTTGGATGTTCGCCTGAACACCCTTGAACAAAACACGTCTGTCACTGATCAATGGCAAGAGTTGGGCATTAAAAAATATCAAAATGGAAATATTGCAGCTAAAAAGTTTAAAAAGTATATATTAGAAAAGTGGTTTTACAAATGAAGAATTTTGGGGTGCAAAATAATGATTTGTTTATTGCTTGGGGTATCAGTACAAACGAAGGCAGTATATATACACGTTCTCGTTCTCGTACAAGCCCATGGGCCACTTAGGCAAACTAAGCTACGTTTGAGTACAAATTAATACAAAGTAATAATAAAATATTCCAACCCCCCAAGTTGGAGCATGTGGATTACAAATACCCAACTTGGAAAGAAGTATAAAATTGTTGTTTGCCTAAAGCCTTCCTAAAAATATCCGCAAGCTGATCGTGCGATGAGACATGCTGAGTAGATATCAGACCATCCTGAATAACATCACGAACATAATGACAATCGACTTCTATATGTTTGGTGCGTTCATGGAACATATGATCTGAGCAATGTGAAGAGCAGACTTACTATCACAATACAACTGCATGGGCCGAGAGTGAGACATGTCGAGACTAAATACAAGACCTTTGAGCAATTTCAACTTTGTGCCATGGAGCGATACTCTGCTTCTGCAGAGGACCTAGATACAGTATGTCGCTTCTTAGACTTCTAAAAAATAGGAGACCCTCCAAGAAAAATCAACCAACCGGTAAGAAAACGCCGAGTGAGCAGACAACTGGCCCAATCAGAATCACACCATCCAGAGAGAGTCATATCACAAGTGTAGTTGAGAAGTATGCCCTGACCAAGAGACCCCTTCAAATACCACACCACTCTGAGTGTCGCTTCCCAATGAGCACGCCAAGGTATTTGCATAAACCGGGACAATATATGGACTGCGTAAGCAATATCGGGACGGGTAAAAGAGAGATAAATAAGGCACCCGACTAGATGACGATAAGACTCCGGATCAGATAATAAATAATCATTAGCTAGTGCGAGAGAGTGATTTTGCTCCATAGGAAAACTGGCGGGCTTGGTACCAAGAAACCCAACCTCAGCAATGATGTCAAGCATGTATTTACGGTGATAGAGAAAAATACCATCCGCATTACGAGCTACTTCAATGCTCAGAAAGTATTTAAGCACGCCCAGATCGTTCATATGGAAACATGAACTCAAATATTTTTTTAAATTAATTAAAGCGAAAGAATTGTTACCGACAATAATGAGATCATCAACATAAATCAACAGAAGTAGCTGTACGGTCCCCGTGTGCATAGTAAACAAAGAATAATCCAAAAAGGACTGAACAAAGCCGTAGAGCGCTTGAGAGAAATAGCTAGTTTAGCGAACCAACAATGGGGCGCTTGATGCAAGCCATACAAGGACTTCTACAGGTGACAAACGAGACCACGTCGAGTGGGATAAAAAACCGGGTGGAAGTTTCATGCATGTATACTTCCTCATTTAAGTCATCATGAAGGAAAGCGTTGTGCACATCTATTTGATGGATATCCCAATTCTGAGCTGAAGCAACCGCAAGAAAGGTTCTAACCATAACCATCTTGGCTACGAGCATGAAGGTTTCCGTGTAATCAATACTCTCCTCTTGGTGATTACCAAAAACTACCAAGAGCACATTTTTCAGGGAGCAAACGTTCCATAACCCAAGTATTATTATCCTTGATGTGAGTTTTCTCGCACTTAAAATAGATTGTAATATAGTGGTGTAAGTACGAGTATCGTCTCCACGGAGACAGACAAAAGGGAATCAAGAAATAATTAAATCTAGCGATTAACAATAAATAAAATAAACGCGTCGTGCGAGATATGATTGGTTGCTGGAAAATTAAACTAATGCGAATGAGCGATAAAAATAAAAGATTGATTTCTCTCTAGTTAACGACGAAGGGAAAAGGATTGATTCCGGGGTAACCAGATTTCTGGCAGATTAGACTTAATTACATGAAATTAATTTAATTGAGCCTAGTTAATCATTTCTAAGTTCTTACCGCTCTCGCGGCGTAGAGTACAATAATTTAGGGGACCAGACCGATCTCTCATGTGGCATGTTCCTAAATTATTGCCAAGACGAGCGAGCTTACAGCCCCTTAATCGCTACTAATCTCTTAGCGAACGATTAAGTGTGTGTGAATGTGTCCTAGAATAAATTAGATCTCTCTTAATTTATTCTACATGCAATTGTAATTATAGCTGCAGTCTAGGTTACAAGAGATATCGGTTAAATTATTCAAACACAAATTAAACGGCATTCATGCAGTTAATCCATCAAGAATCTAGCCATACATCATGATTAACCCCTTCATCAACACCAAATCCCTAATTAAACTACTCACAATTCATAATTGAAGAATAACCATAATTGTGATGAATATAATTAATTGTCATTAATTAAAAAGATGAACTTACAAATAATCCCAGGGTCTTGGAGTAAACAATCGTAAAAATGCAAGTAAATTCGTCCCTAGGCCTCTCCGTAATGTTCGTAACATTTATAAAAACCGGGGCGGGGGGGGGGGGGGGGGGATTCGGGTGAAATCGGGACTCCAGGGGGACGCACGACCCCACGCACGGCAGTACGTGGCTGGCAGTGCGTCCGGTGAACCTGTGCGTGAAACGGGGCCACACACGGCGTGCGTCCCCCCACGCACGACCGTGCGTGGCTAGCAATGTACTCCTTGCTTTCTCACCTCAGACGCACGGTCAAGCGTTCCTCTACGCACGACGTGCATCCAACTTCCAAATTTGACAAAACTTCCTTCAAGAAAGTTGTAGATTAGGAAGTCCTCTATCCACCACAACTTGCAGAATTGGATTTGAATCATCCAATCAAGAGATGTGAATAAAATGGTGGAAGGTGGCATTCTGAAATCGCAACAGAGATCATCTGACTTCATCATCTGTTTTCACCTTGCTCCTACCTGATTCTCGGAATGGTGTCTTCATATGATTTGTAGACCTTGAAGTTGGCTTTGATTTGGAACTTGAATCGTGTCCTTTGGATGCTTCTACAAAGATATATGCTTGAACGATTGACAAAAGGTCATCCTGATCGCCTTTTTCCAACTCTATTCATCTTCTTTTGATCCCGTAGTCAATTCTGGAGTTCTTTTGTCATCAAATCTTCATCGTAAACCTCCCGGTGACCTCCAAAGCTCTCAATGCACTCTCGAATGCATCTCGAATCATCCCGGTTGATCCTCAAGAGCCGGTGCCGAACTCTAAATTCCTGATTTTGACTCCAAATGACACAAAACTCAAACCAACGCCTTATAAACATAACTTGACCTAAACTTGAGACTTGCAACACCTTAAAGCTAGGAAAACCGCCAAAAGCCAATCTCAACACGCATCAAATGTGTGTTGAAATACGGACTTATCAAATTCCCCACACTTAAGCTTTTTCTTGTCCTCAAACAAACTGAACAGCGAGACTTACGATAATCACCACACGGAATTAAAATTATTAGCATGCACAAGTAGTTAAAGGGATATTCACATAACAGACAGACTAAATCAAGAAAATTCTTCCTTAAACTACATCTTTGTACTCAAGCTAAAATTAATGACAAAATTTTCACAACATCCTTAAAGTAGTGACAATAAACACTAATAAACTAGCTACCGATCAGAAGGACTTGTGATGGTGACGGTGAATGGTGAAGAATAAATAGTTCCTTTCTTGAGAGTTTGGAACATCCTAACAAAGACTCAATGCATTCAGGAATTTTAGGGCTATTCTTAGGATCAAGTAATTCAGTAGGCCATTAATTAGGAATTATCATCTAAACTATGCAAAGAGTAGACATGGTGTACAACTAAACTAAACCGTCGCGGCACATTGGTGCTTTGACGTACGCTTGAAGTACGCGAAGGACTAGAGCAAATTTTTGCAATAGCCTCCAAGTTCATTAATTAAGTTTAGTTTCTCTTGTCATGTTGGCACGAGAACGCCATTTCTTTCGAAAGATACCCAAGTCTCATCTTATTGTGCAAACACTTACGCTTTTTGACCGGGGCTCCCATCCCCTTTTTCGCAAGGTAAGAGGTCTAGCTATAATAATTTTTCACTTTTCAGATTTTTACTAGACATTACCACATTCTAATCTCGGCCTCACCAAGGAAAAATAGCAATCAAGGTTCATTTATTCAAAGTAAATCCGTGCCTACAATGCAATCCTCAAAAGTATCAAATTCCTAAAAAGTGATTGCTCCTACCCCATTTGGGGCATAGGAACAGTGCCAAAAATGGCTCCTACACAAACTCCCTAAACTTAGCAAATTAATCCCCTAGTTCCCTAAACACTAAGACTATGTCAGAACTATTCACAGATAAGGAAACACAGGTCATTTGGCTATAGAGCTCAATTAATTGGGTAAACAATAAAAGGTAAGGATCAAAATAGCTTCTCCTAAAGGACTTTTTCAGGTGGGGTGGATGATTTATGAATTGATTCAATGGGTGACTAATGCATTCATCCTTTCAACAACTAGATTATAGTGCAAGCATTTTAAGCCTAAACACTTCAAAGATGATCTAAAAGCATAGTCAAAACGTTAGTCAGCTTACAAAGACACAGTTTAAATTTAAAGAAAAATTTTCAAAATTTTTGACCAGACTTTTCAAAGAATATACAACTAACACCTGCAAGAGACTAAGAGCAAGTGCGGCGCAGGAGTAAGAAAGTGATGGGCTTTTGAATTGGGTTAAGTGTATTTCAAAATTTTCAAATCATTTTAATCACTTATTTTATCCTCATAAAAATTAGTCCCATTTTTATCAACTCTAAACTCGAGAGTATTTTTTTTATCATCAAAACAGACCTCTATTCATATCAAAAGATTCAGGATCATTACATCAAGCAAAGGGAAAATAAAACTGACACCAACCGAAACTCCAACAACTACGACTGTAACCCTATGGTGAGACTTTGAGACGGTCACCCCTGAAAGAGCAACACGAATCACTAACCATGTAGTGGGCTTGACACAGCCAAACCTGTTCCCATAGATCCAACCATACCCAATGACATAAAGAGAGGCTAAAAACTCAAACAAATTGTCAAAACCAACCACAAAGATGAACACAAGAAAACAAATGACAAACAGAAAAAATTACTGAGAAAACTTTCACGGACTATAGCACCTCATACAACCCATGGTGGTGGTTCACGCGAAGGTCGGACCGTCGCTCGATTGATACACTCTTTCAGTGGAGTACCCGCCGTATGACCCAAATCCATGAGATTGAATGGAGCGTTCAGCCTCTATACGCTAACCATGTCCCGATCATCCCTACGTCACTCTCTCGCTTCTTCCACAATCTTCTCGCTACCACGATCATCCATCCCGAGCTACGTCCAAACCGCGGCAATCTGGAATAGTGTTGCGTCGATGGAAAGAAACGCCGCACCAGGGCGGCGAAGAAAAAATCCCACGCGAGAGATCTCGCTAGGGAAACACTGACCAAACTCGAGAGTATTATTTCGGCCATTCTTTCTTAAAAAGTCATGTCTAAAAAAATATTATTTATGAAATAAAATACTACCTCTGTCCCCGAGGGGCGACGAGAGATATGGGGGAAATCAGCGCTAGCGCCGATATGTGTGCAACCACTTCAATCGTAGACCAGAAGCGGCTACCCTTCATCTCTTTTGGGTCATTCATATTTCCCCTTAGCGAATCAAGCAACACCATCTCAATTGGAGTCCCTACTGACCAATGACAAGGATCGTTAACAGATCTGCTCTCAACATAGATAAAGGCTAGAATCCGACGACGAAGGTACGACGCAGATTCATGTTCAGTGATGACAGGCAGCATCAGCGTGCATCCAGATGGGCTCAGAGGAGGCAGCTAGTTTTCAGAGGTGGCAATAGAATGATTGGGTGTGGCCGTGAAGGTACTGGCAGAGCTCGACGGAAGATTAATCTCCTGCGAACAGCCAGCACTTGGCTTCCATATGCTCGACGAAAGTGGCAAAGAACAGCTGGTTAAGGATCTTGGTCAAAATTGAAGAATGGCAGTCTCAATCTCATGAAGGAACGAGAAGACACGGTTGACACGCAAAGGGCATTCTCTAAGTATCATTCAGCTCCCTTTCTACAACCAGCAGATGGATTTCAAATTACCATGGAAAGCAAAGCATTTTGTTTCTATATTATTGATTGCAATATTGTGCGTATAACCGAAACAAAATATGGGATTTCAAGATCATCGTCTGTTGAGCTTGATATTGAAAGCATCATTTGGCTAAGGGATTCCATTACAAACTTCTTTGTGATAACTAGTCATGCAACAAATTTGAGCTAAAGAATTCATTATCTTTATTTCATGATGCCACTTTATTTGGCGGTTTCTTCCGGATCATTGAGAAGGGTGGTGAGAAATTATTTATTCCTCAGGGAAAGAATGGAATAGGGACTAAAATTTTTCTATCAGGGATTACTAGGGCTCTTACAATGTTGAAAGAAGTTGAAGCCAAACAGCCACCTTTACTACTTAAACAGGTTTTAGGAACAAATGCTAATTTTGAATGAGAGCTTGTCAACTTGGATATGGATCCCTCTACTAAAGAATTTTCTATTTCTGGAACTCTTTTACTAGTCGATGTTGAACAATCTGACCAAGCTGTGGTGTTGAGTTCTTTCGAGGATTTTCCCGACACAGACTCGTCATTAACTCATATTAAAGATTTCTTTCAAATTACTATGACTCAAGGGGTAGACTCACTTTCTCATTTTTTAATCGAACAATTTGAAAGAATCATTGCCTCTTCTTTCGGTAAACCTGTTGATGAAGTGAAAGCTACTGATTGTACACCGACATATTTTTTGAGGAATGTTTCTTCAAGCAATCAAAAGGGACTTTTTCAGGAGGGGAAAATTACTAGGCGAAACATTCTAGAGGTCAACTATTATAAAAGTTATCAACACTCTGAAGGTACTGATTGTGAGGAAGCTTATAACGATATGTTCTTTCCGGGGATTGATTATTTTGGTCATACTGAAAATGAGAAGAGAGTACCTATATTGACGGTAGCAAATCTATGGGACTCTGATGGAAATCGGGAAATTTGCCAAAAAACTGTTTGCCTTCAGATAATTTGAACACTCAAAAGCACATGAAGAATAATCGAGGATCATATCATATGAGGACTAGATCACAAACTCGCGAGAAACCTTGATCTCAAAGGGCTAAGGGTTAAAAGTTGAGGGGGATTTATAATGTACTGTGGGTGGGGATATTTGCATTCTTGTTTTTTTTTTGTTTATTTCCTTTTTCGTTCATCTTATCTTGTACCCGTACTTTTTATTTCATCAATAAAATCTCTTTTTTTTAAAAAAATACTACCTCCATCCCATTTTTATGTGGTTGAAAAACATTTTACGAAAGAGATGGGCGGCCGAATTGACTTGGCAGAATTATTAATAAAGTGGTTGAAAAAGTAAAAGTTATGGTTGAGATTTGAGTATAATAAAGTGAAATATTGTAGACCACATATTTGTTTCCAAAAGAGCAAATGTGACACTTATTTTGGACAACCAAAAAAGAAAAGCAGGACAAGTAAAATGGAATGAATGGAGTAATTGTTTATGCAAACAAAGATTAATGATTATCTTCAAGAGATAAAAAAAATTGAAATAAAACCAATAAATAAAAAAATGACTAAAACTTCTTAAACTATATTAGCATGATAATTTTTTAAAAAGAAATCGCCTATATTTATAGCATTAGTTTCAGAATCATTACATCAATAAAAGAATCATATCTTACACCAACTAACCTCTAGTAACTACGATTAGGCATAAAGACGGCCACCCCTGAAAGAGCAACATAAATCGTTAACCACGAAACGGGCTTGACACAACTATCGTTGGTGTTATAGATCCACAAACTTATAACAACACAAAAATAAGCTAAATTTTCAATCATTCCAGAAAACCTAGCAACATAGACTTTAAAATATAAAAAAACAATAAATAAAAGGATACACTACCATCAGTATCGTCGTGTTTGATCATCCATCGCCGACCAAACTCTGACCTTCACCAATCCCATTGCTCCCTAACCGCCGTTGCCCCTGGTGCGTGCTTAAGCCAATGCTCGTCACCATCCTGGTCACGGCACCACGACCTCTTGCGGCCGAAACAAGACCTTCAGCGAGGGTTTGCATCATATATACTCACCTCCTCACCTTCCATCAATCATATGCCTTCATGTTGAAGTTGAGAGAAACCAATTCCTTAAAGCTCAAAATTGCTGCTAGACTCATAAAGATTTCTTGTTCACTTAATTGTAATAATGGGAAAATTGTCAAATAGGACCTTCTACTATGTCAAAAAAGTCAATTATGTCCTTTTACATTAAAATCAATCAATTGAATCCTCGTACTTACAAAAATGCTCAATTAAACTAATTAACCCGTACATTATAGGTTTCCCGGTCAAAGCCTACATGGACTGACCACATGGCTATATTTTAATGTTTTCTCTTTCTTCTTCTTTTCTGTATGTTCGTTCGCATGAGGGAGAGGAAAATGGCAAAGTTGCAGCCTGCAGGTCATGGCTGCCATGGACAGAGTCATCCCTCACTGCAAACGGTGAGGCACAACCAGATATACAAGGTGATGTCTTGCATGATTGACGCAAAATCGAAGTTGTTTGCGGTGTAAAGTAGCGGCCTATAAGACGTCGGCGGTGTTTTTAGACGCCGGTGGTGTGTGGGTGGGAGGCCGCCGGTTGAGTGCAGAGAACGCCGGAAGTTGATGGCCACCTGCATAGTTTGGTAAGTGGTTCTCTTAACCTTTCTCCCAAACTGATTTGGCCGAGTTTGGGTGGATGAATTCGAGGCCTGCTTGGATTCCACCTGCTTTAATTTGGTGCTAGCTTCTATCTATTTAGATCCAAGGAAACCTTACGGGTTGGTCAATTGGAAGAAGCTTAATTAAAAATTGATGTAGAACTGCATTCATCAAAGGTTATGAATGTCATAGATCAAGAATCAAAGTCTTTCTTGCTTTGCACCAGTAAGAAACACCCATTTGAAATTAACATATGGTTTCCATGGATGCGGTACGCCGGTACAAGAAAGAAAGAGAAAATGAGAAAAATAAAGAGTCAAAGTCCACATGGACAGTCCACGTGGCTATTTCTAAATCATACCGGTTAAACAGCTCAATTGAGCTTTTTGTGTAAGTAGGAGGATTCAATTGATTGATTTTAAAGTACAAAGACCTAGTTGACTCTTTTGATATAGTAGAATGACTTATTTAACAGTTTTCCCTTATAATAATTGAACAGACGTTATTATAACTAAAGTTACTACTCGAATCACATTTTAGTAAATAATGTTATTATAGCCAAATATGTAATTATTTCTATCTTTAATCCTTTCGTAATTAAGGATGGTTTGATTTCATTTGTTTCCTTTAACATATATTAGAGCCATAAATAAATCAGATAAGATTAAGATAGATTAAATCACATTGTTTTGGTTAACAGTAAAATGCACTTTATTTTTAATAGATCAAATTGAACTTAGATAGATACTAGTTTTTGTAGTAGAACTCAAATTACACTAAGAGTCTGCTTGGTGATCCTGTTTCAGTTTATTGGTTTTATCAATCAACTTTTTCATTGAATATATAACTTTTGATTTCACGCACTGGATTGTGTAATAATAATAATAAAAAGTTTAAGTTATTTTTTTGACTGAATAAACTGAAGTTATTGCAAATAACCATTTTAACTATTTTTGATATGATTTTTTATTATTAATAAAATATAATTTTTATACCACATAATTTTTTTGATAATGTAGGAGAATCAACTATTCAACTAATTCAATTACTTTAGCCAAACTTGTTAAAGTTTGAGAGAATCAATCAATCAATTCATGACTAGAGGGCTCTCAAGATACGAAGTATGATCGTGAAATTACTGTCCTAGGTGAAAGTGCGTAGCATATCATCCGGAGTACTAATGATCGATGGAATTTATCGATCAATCTCTTGTTTATCCGATAAATAACGACCGGGTAACGGCACAAGCGTACCAGATCCAAATTCCTAACTACCGACCGCTCTATCGAGTGGGAAGCTTCCTGATATAAGTCGTCTCCCAATTCCCCATCTTTCTCAGGTTTGGCGTGATTAATAGAAATTTGATGTTTTTAAGCTAAATTTTACCTTTTATATCTCGAAAGTATCCGTGACTGGATTTCATTTTGTGTAGGAAGATGAGCTGGTTCGGTTGTTGACTTTTATCTTGGAGGATGTTGTGATGGGTGTTTACAAGCACAGCAGTGAACTCTTCCCTGAGAGAAGAGGTATAGCTGTGGTTTTATCAAAACCACTGGACTCTCGTAGAGGTCGAAGACTCCGTCGGATTTCCAAACGAAGTTTATTTCTTTGGGTGCTTCTACTTGTTGTACTGTTCTCTATCTATTTGATAGTTTTTGGATTGAAGATGCACTCCCATGGTGAGTAGAAATTTTTGCCTTTTCCTGTAAATTGCATTCAAACTTGTACATATCTGTGTTGGATAAGTTACCCACTTATGGATTGCAAGGTGGGAGGAATACCTAAGTTCCTCCAGACCTGCTGTCAAGTGAGACTTGTCAATCGTGTTGGGCATCAAACTGTGGACAGTAAAGCCCACATGATTCATTGATATGATTTACACGTCACTTTCCGTTTGTTTGAAAGTTGTATAACTAATTTGTTATCCATTTTGTAGCTCTTATCATCTACATCTTTCGGGTGCATATTATGTATTCGCTTACATCATCTCAAGTTTCTTACCTTTTACCAGTGTCATGGCATGTTATATTTTTGTATTTGTAATAATTTGAATGGAAATTCCCAAAATCTTTTGGGAATAAGGCTTGGATGTTGTTGTATAGTAATTTGAATGGAAATGAAAAATCTGACCTACACCTTAATCATCATCATCATCATCATCACCACCACCTACACCTTAATCCCAAGATCCCAACCATTTTTATCAGTGGCTAAAATAAAATTTGTTAACAATATTAATTCGTTAAAATATAGTCAAGTTATACACCATACGACTTTCACGTCAAAACCTCTTAAGAAGGAATCATGATATGGAATTCTGAATCCTTGATCATTATAGGTTATTTCTACTTGCATGGAAATTATTATCAGACAATGGTGAATTGAGTTAGTTGCTTTTGTCATGTCCATTTCATGATTGGTATTGCTACAAATTTGCTCCTTGATTTCCAGTAAAAGTTGCCTAACTGTGACAGTTTTTTATGTGTATGTCGTAGCAAGTAGACATTTTAATGTTCACAAATGTGCTTGACATTTTAGATTCTATATAAGCTTGGTAAAATCTATATGTTAAGCTTTGCATAAATAGACAAAGATTTGCATGCTGTAATAAGAATTATATCAAACTATCAAAGTTTGTGCCCTTTGACATTCTTGCAGGTGCCTTGCGAGATGATAATTCATCTCTGGTAGATGTACATGAAGAAGTTCCCGTGTTTAATGTTTCAGATCAAATGAGGAAGAAACCCCGGAGGCAGAGTAAGATTTAAAGCACCCTCTTTCATTAAATTCCTCATATAAAAGGTCCATTCCATTGACAGAGTAACTGCTGTTAATGATTTTTATGCAGTGCAATCGGGTGCACCCATGTGATTTTGATTGAATAAGAGCCCCCCTAACTCTAGTGCTTTCTGCTACAGGGTTAAAAAAACTACCACCCCCGTAGATGTGCTATAAAACAGACAAGAAAACTTCATGTATAGCACCCATTAAACTGTAGAATATGTAAGGCTGACTTTAAAAATTTTGAAGTTTAAAATGGCTACCCAAGGAGCATTATCCCCATTTACGTAAAAAATATAGAAAGCTCTTTTCACTTTCGAAACCAAACTTAAGAACATATTAGATAGTAATAGACAATCAATCATCATTGCTTATAATTTGATGTCTTTGGCTGCAATTTTGTCTCCACTAACCAATCTGATGCATTTTACGGAAAAACCTATCAGCGCCGCAAATCAGTGGCAGATCCTTAGCTGATTAAGCAGTTAATTATGGAAGGATAATAATTTCCTTTGCAGCAGATTCCTGATTTATTGTTTGATTGCTTTCCTTCATTAGACTAGTTAATTACTTTCCTTAGTTAAGTTGATCTGCAGCTTTATTACTTTCCATCATTAGATAAGTCTATTTTAAGATTTGATTTAATGTAATTCTCTCCTTCCTTAACTGGTTCTTGTAACCCTTACTATAAGTAGGGACTCTTGCATCGAATAAAAGACAAGCCAGAATTAAGTCTTATCAAGGAGATAGGAACTCCATAAAATTCCTGAAGTTTTTATCCCCTTCCCTGCCTTCTTTTATTTTCCGTTATTACCTGCAA